AAGAAAAGGTAGTGCGTTGTGATGGTCTCTGCTTCCCCTGTCTTGCTGATCATGAAGAGCTGAGGAAGGATAGCCACGGACTCCAGGTAGATGGAGAAGGTCCAAAGTATCTGTGAGGTGCAAAACGAAGGCGGTGGGGAGTCGGTGCTGGTTAATATGTGTTAAGGCCCCAAGCTTTTCCTTTGGCAAAGCACTGATGTGTAAGTGGCATGAGCAGTGCTGCTGAAGTTGGGGGAAAAGAGCCTGCTGTGCTGGGACTGAGAGGAGACAGCACTGAGCATCTTCAAAGCCTGCCAACTTTGCCTTTCCTGCCTGCTTTTACTGTTAAAAATCTCAGTTATTCAACATGCTTCTCCCTCTGCTGCCTGGTGTCAGGCTGCTGCTTCCCCTCCCTTTTCCTGCCTCAGTTTTTCCTTACCTCCAAAGGGGTGAAGCTGTGGTTCTCCAGAAATGACAGGCCTGTGACAGGGACCAGCAGGAACTCGAGGCGAAAGGAGTCGTTCTCACTGTCAAATGTTTTCCGGAATTTCACATAGATCATGTACACGGTGACGTAGGCACATATCAAAAAAATGACCTGGGGGAGAGAAGGGAGATGGCAAGACCTTCCATGCTTAGAGGACGGCTTTGCCAAAGGTCTGTAAACCTGGTTCTGGTGTGGCCATGCCAGGGTCAGATAGTGGTGAATGATTTTCCTGTGCTGGTTTATGGATTGACTTCTGCTGGAGATACTCCAGTGGTCAAGTAAAGCTTGCTCCACCATGAGCATCACACGTGTTTGAGTCCCTCTGGGGCTCTGTGTGAAGAGGTTGGCTTGGTAGCAGCCTTCTGTTAGCATTCCTGCTGTGCAAGGACACCCAGGCTTGGATCACAGCATCTCATTCTAGTTTTAGTGGTACTAAATGTGACTCAGCTCCCTCACTGGCTCTGGTGAGGTGTTGTTTTTTTTTTCAGTGGAGGGCCAGTGACACCAAAGGAAGCATCTCTACCCAGGCTTCCTGGCTGAAAAAACTCACTTAGTGACCGTGTACCCTCACCTCCTTGAAAAACCACGGCGAGCTGAGGGGAACCTCTTCTGCTGCACTGCCCTTTCCTTACCTTCATCACAGTGTTATAGACAGAGATGAAGTTTGTGAACAGGTCCAGATAGCGGGTTGTGAAGACAAGGGCAAAAAGAATCTGACTCTTCCCAGAGATTCCTGTGTGGCAGGGAGACAAAAGGAAGATAAAGCAGATGAAGGGAAGGACCCATAGGGTGGTAGTTTCCCTTTATGCCCTCTTTGGAACCATTTGTATATATGCATGTTGTTTTTTGAGCCAGGTCTGGTGTGCAGGTGCTCTAGACCTACCCCAGGAATGGCCAGAGACCCCCAAGTAACAAGGCAGGCTCCTGCTGATGCCACTGAGCCGTGCCTGTAGGGACTGGTGCCCAGTGGGCATGTCCACTGCTTTGGCCAGTTCGGTCCTTACTGTCATCAAAAGGCCTTTCTTCTCCCTCCTTTCCTCCTTTGTTGCCCACCTCACCAGGGATTGTGTGATGTGACATCTGACATAGGAGGGAAGAGCTGTGGGACCACCCCAGGGATGCTGGAGCTTGGTCACTGCTGGCTGGGAGATGCAGTCAGGCCCACCCATTTCTCTACCAGTGATAATGGTCACAGCCCCAGCAGCCCAGCCCCAAAATCTGTCACTGGGGAAACTATGAACTCAGCAAAATCCTCCTGCAGGAAGCTGTTGTCCTAATTTCCTTACCCCAGGATGGGGCAGCCTCTGGCACCTGTCCACCACTGGCAGGACCTCCAACTTAAAGCAGCTTTCTCTCCAGGTTGTTGGTGTTGGTGCTGCCACAACTTCTTACTCTCATTTTCCACCTCCCTCTGGCCTTGCTGCCCTCCCCTTCACTTCACAACCCCAAGACCAACACCTGCCCGAGGCTCCGTGCCTTGCCACATCACATCCTTCCAACACAGCGCTCTCCTTCTGGCAGGGACACCTTCCAGAGGAGGAGAATGACTTCCCTGCAAGAGCCTAGTGGGGAGGGCTTCCAGTTTGTATGGGCTATCACTAGTCTTTCCAGCACCCATTTTGCTTGCACCCTTTGTCAAACTGCCCTCCAAGAAAGACCACCCTCCTTCCCTGGGGCATGGAAGCACTCACCGGCACAGGACTTGGACTTCAGGATCTTCAGGAGGAGAATAATGATGGCCAGCAAGTGGGAGATATCCCCCAGGATGCGGAAGATGTTCATGATGCCGGGGGGTGCTCCTCTGGGGCAAAGGGAGTGTGGCACTTTCCTCAGTCAGGGAGGGTGAGGGCAGGGAGTTTTTCTTCCCTGAGCCTCAACTGAGTGAACAGTCTCCTCCGGCTCAATTTTCCTTTTTCCCTGAGCACAGAGCCCTCCCTTCTTGTGGAGCAAAGTTCAGGCTCTTCTCTCCCCTGGTTGTGGGTGCCTTTTCCCTTCCAGGCTGGATGTCTCCCTTAATTACTTTTCCACCAAGGTGTATTTTCCCTCTCCCAGGCTAGGGCCTTCTTCTCCCTGCTTTAGGCTGAAAGTTGGGGTTTGTCCCCTGGAGAGCCCCAGGCTGAGCAGCCCTGAAGCCAGCGCTGGGTGACGGTGACGTGGCTCCTGGCTGGCCGGGGAGGAGAGAGAGGAGGAGGCAGAGGCGGGAATAACTGCGCTATTTTTCCCTTTTTCTTTTTTTTCTTTCCTCTTTTTTCTTCCCCAGCTTGTCTCAAGTTACATACGGAAGTATGGTTAGAGGGGAAAAGGCAGAGGGAACGGGATTCCCATCCTCTGGCCTTGAGGACACACCCTCCTGCGGGGCCAGGCTTCCCAGGGAAGTTCACCATGGGTGCATTAACCTCTGTCCTGCTCCCAGCTAGCAGCCTTCTGCCCTCTGCCCTTGCTGGCCCCATCCCATCTCCAGCACCTTCTCCCCAGTGCTCCACTTTGTCTCCTGGAGCAAAAGAAGTCGGGAGAGATTCGAATTACCAAACCATTGCGGCTCTTCCGCAGCAGTTCATGCACAGGCATTCCCTGGTGACTGCCCCACCAGGCAACCCTGCCTTCGGGTTTCCCATCTGGAGCAGCGTGGATCCCACAGCCCAGCCCAGGAGGAAAGAAAAGATCCTCCCAAGAGCTGGTTTGAAACAAACTTCACTGAAAATAATCCTGGAAGCCTGCAAGTGTGTTACAAACAACGTAGTTTATGCGTTGAGTGAAAGGAGCACATGGGCGCTGCTGGTTTTGTAGATTTCACAGAAAGGAGCTCAGTAGTGACTGTTAGAAAGTTCTAACATATTTGAAAACAGCTCTGAGTGACCAGCCTGGTTCAGATAAACCTTGTCCTTGGAGAAGTGGTTACACAGGGAGATCTCATGGCAGCAGTGGGGGGACATCTGCATCAAGAACCAGCAACTAGATATTCAATATCTAATCACTTTGTATTACGTGCCTTAATTTTTTTAATATAATATAATATAAATAAATATAATAAATTAATGAAATAAATTTATTTAACTTTATATTAAGTTGCTTTAATACAACCAAATAGATGTTTCAATTTGTCACCTCATCCCTGAGCTGTGGGTCTAATTTGATTACTCTTGGGTTATGTGATCCTGCCTCCTCTTGCCCCAGAGTCGGCTCTGGCTGCTGCCCTCCCTGTCCCCAGCCATCACCCATGGCTGTCTCCTACACATATGTCTCTGTCCTTATGAACTTGCTTGGAGTAAAATCCTTAAAGTATAAAAATATTATTCCTGGTGCTTTCTGAAAGGATTAACAAGCCTATTAGCATCACCGGATCCCTTTCTGAATATATTTGCATACATTTCCTCCCTGCCCATTAGGCTGGCAGTTGTGTTTTCCCTCTCTGATGCTCCAGCACCTGCATCATCAGGCTTTTCCAGATGGATTCACAGGCTGTGTTGGAAAACACCTGCTCAGCCCCACGAAACTGGGGATGGCCCTGCCAGGGCACCGAGGCAGAGGTTGGTGCGATGGGAGAAGAGTGGGAGAAGACCAAACGACAGCACCGGTAAAGGAGCGACAGAATAGGGACCGGCTGAAATTGGGTTTCCAGCCATCAGAGCGGTGCTGCCTGGGATTTCAGCAGGGCCATGTGGGTGCTGGTGAAAGCCAAGCCCCAGCCCTGGTGGCCCTGCAGGGCCCTAGTATCCCAGGTCCTTTTGCAGGTGGGCAAAGAGAGGTCTGAGCCATGGAACAAGGATGGAAAGCTTAGAGGAAGGTTTGGGGTCTTCTCTTCCAGTTGATCCCTTTCCAAGCCTCTGGAGCTCAGTGTCCGAGAGCACTCGTCTTTCTCTTGTCCCTGCACTCCTCTTTGCAGCTTCTTGTCTCGCCCAGGAAAAGAAATCCCCTGCAGAGGGGTAACACTGTTGCGGGTGGCCAAGGTTTATTCTCTTAATCTTGCACCTTCCCAAGAAGAACTGACGGGTTCCAAGTTGCGGCATTATCTTCTGCTGTGGCACCAGGAATCCCCAGCTCAGGTGACCATCAGAGGGACTTCCTGGGAGCAGCCCAATCAAGCTCACCCAGCTGGGACGTGGTGATGGGGCTGGGGTTTCCCCATGGGACATCCCTGTGTGGCACACATGAGGGCCATGGGAAAGTTGCCAGGAGGCCAAGGGGCAGCCAGGCCCTAAGAGATGAAATATTGGGCACATCAAGTGGCAGCAAGTAAAAATAAACCTTCCGTCCTCCCTCCCTGCCACAACACGAAGTGCCTTGTGCCGGGTGTCTCCCTGCCTCCCGAAATAATGCTGGGTGCTGCCACCACCCTGCACTGCGATGCTCTCTCCATGCCTCCCGTTTCCATGGTGACCACAAGGAATGTCGCCAGGGTGACAGGGAGGCAAGTGAGCTGGGATTTGGCATTAAAATCAAGAATTTGGGGTTGTTTGGTTTATTTTTCTTCCCCCTCTCCCCCTCCCCCTTTAGTTCTATTTTTGGGATTTCCCTCTCTGCCTCTGCTGGTCTGGAAGGCTCCTCCTGCAGAGCCTCTGGGCCAGGCAGCAGCAGCTCCATCCAGTGCTGTTCTCCACTTCTGCCTGTCCTGTGAAGCAATGGCGTTGGGATAAGAGGGACAAAGGGGGTTTCCTTCTTACTAAAACATTTGTTTCCTGCTACCAGGAAGGCTTCTGTGCTTTCGTCACAGAGGTGCTTGGCTTGGTGCCCCCCTCCATTTCTGCTGCAGAATGTGGCTCAAGCTGCATCCAGACCTCCTGGGAGAGTGGGCAGCCTCAGGGATTCATCCAAGAGAGAGAAGTGATTCAGCATACCTGGAGGGGCTGGGAAACATGGTGGGATTGAACACCATGAGCCACCTCTGTGTCTCACCATCTCTGCCCCCCATGACCAGGTCAGTTTGGCTGGGGCGGTCCTAAAGCACTGGTGGGGGACAAGGATGGGATGACTGCAGGAGAAGCGTAGAGGGAGCCTTGCAGGTGCTAAGGAGTCCAAATCTTTGTTATCTGGTTTAAACACTCAAAGTCAGAACTGCCCAGGACAGAGAGCGCTTGAAGGTTTGTGCTGGCTTAGCTGGTATCACAGGAACGTGGGACCATAGGTGTCCAAGCAGGGGCTGCTGGCACAAAGGTAGCACTTGTCTTCATCCCCAGGCAGGAGAGGGGTCAGGCAGCAGTTGCTCACCTTCCTAGGAGCTCTTGCTTCTCCCTCCCTTCCTTCCTCCCTCCCTTCCTCTCTCCCTTCCTCCTTCCCTCCCTCCCTCTTTCTCCATTCATCCTTCCATTCATCCCTCCAAACATTCCTCCATTCATCCCTCCAAACATTCCTCCATCCATCTCTCCATCTCTCTTTCCCTCCTTTCATCTATTCCTCTATCCATCCTTCCTTCCAACCCTTTCATCCCTCCATCCTTCTATCCCTTTGCCTCCCTCAATCCCCACAGCAGCATTGGGAAAGGTTGGCGGAGTGGGGCTATTTTTGGGAGCGTCTCCCTGGCAACGGCTACCACCACCGTCTGTGGTGGCTTTTCCATAGGTGCTAAAATATTCCACGCTTCTTATTAAAGACGGTGCTGGTGGAGACGAGCGGGGGTGGCGAGTGTGAGCCACCCCGCTGCTGGGGCCGGTGGCCATGGGGCGGTCAGGGCGTGGCACCTTGGGGGCACAAAGACAGCTGGGGGCCAGTGGCATCCTTGGTGCGACATCCCCTTGTCCCTCTCAATGGCTCCGGCAGTGCCAGCTGCCTCTTGGCCATGCTGGGCTGCTACACCATGCACGAGGTGTAGCTATTCATCCTCTTGCTGTACAGGTGAAGGGAAACACGGTAAGGTCTTGTGGGGAGCCAGCAATGAGGAGCAAAAGGCAGAGAAGAGGAAACTCAGCCTGAAGCTGAGATGACCACAGGATTGTGCAGGTATTTGGTGGCTTTGCCCACTCCAGGAAGGAGCAAGATGTCTCAGCAGCAGCTTCATCCCTTTACTGCATGGAGGAGAAAGGCCTGTCATGGTGCCAGAGGGATGTCACGCTTTGCCACAGGGCAAACGGGCAGCTACCGGCCTGTAGCTCTTGGGAAGCAGCCCCATGGGCCCTAGGGACAGGGCTTTTGGGAAAGCAAGTACCCCTATGAACCTGAACAAAGTTCCCATAGGGATGGGTACAGAGGGCATGGAGACAGGCTGACCCCATTCCATCCAGGTGCAGCAGCTCCCCGGGGATCCCGCCACGGGAGCAGGAGGGAGGAGCCATGAGTGCACTGAGATGAGCTGGCCCATGCAGGAGGCTGATGAGCTCGTGCTTTGCAGCTGCTCATCTGCATGGAGCTACCAAACTCACCCTCTGCTTCCCTGGTGGTAGCTTTGCCAGGTGGGAGCGGGCTTTGCTCACCACGGCAGTGCTCGCTGATGCCAGTGGGGGACAGCAGGCCCCACAGAGTCTTGTGCAAGGGGATCTTGGGATGATTTTAGGAGGGAGGGTTGTGATTTTTGCAGGATTGGAGCCCAGAGGAGACTCAAAATGGGTTTTTTTGATATTTATTGACTTTTCAGCACAGGCCTTAACACTGAAGACAGCAGATGAGACACCAATATGGAAACCATGTCCTCAAACCATGCTGTCCTGGAGCAGGGCTGTCCCCAGGAGCCCATGCCTGCAGCCACTGCCTGTGTGGTCAGGGCTCTCTTCAGCCTCCGGCTTCGCTGCAGCAGAGTCCCCTGGCCTCTCATCACCAAGAAGTGACTTCTTCAAAGCCTCTGAGATGCTGCTGCCCATGGAGACCCAGAGGAGGTTGCCTGGACATGTTTCCTGGCAGGCTGGCTGTGCACTATCCTGGAGCCCTGAGGGCTGGTCCCTCTGTGCCCACGCTCCTGTCTCCAGCATTACCCATCCCAGAAGGAAATCCCCAGGTCTATAGAGTGGGGAGGCAATGCCCCACAGCAAATGCTCTGCATCAGCTGGGAGAGCCTGGTCCTTCCTCAGAGCAGGGTGTCAGCCCAGCACCCCAAATCCAGGTGGGGAAAAAACTCTGACAGTGGATAATTCACCCCTGTGCACCAGCCCAGCAGGAGGATTCACCCCCTTGAGGGCATCTGGTGGCCCCGCCATCCCTTCCCTGGTGCTGATGGTTGCTCTCGTCTCCCCCATGGTGGTTCCGCAGCTCTGAGCTCACATGTGAGGATGGGCTAAAGTAGCGGAAAGCTGTTGGATCCTACCACAGAGTTACTGACTTCTCAGCTACAGACTGCATAGCAATCAGCGAGGGGGAGAGGCAGCCAGGGAACGGGAGCAGAGCGCAAAGGGAGGAAGAGTGGAAGGGAGAGGGGGGATCTGGGGACTAGAGCAGGGAGGCAGCAAGAGACACAGGCAAATAATGCCAGAAAAGGAGGGAATCAAGCAGGAGGGGGAGACCTGAACCCATCGCCGAGCCACGAAGGCACATCAGCACTCCGTGGGATGGACGCTCCTGGGAGCAAAAGATTCTGAGAGGCAGAGGCAGGAGGAGAGCACTGGCGTGGGCAGGGCAGAGTTAGGAGAGGAGCAGGTCGCAGCAGAGAAGTAGCTCTTCGAGGGGAAAAAATAAACCTAAGCTGGAGGCGAGCGAGGGCTGCAGAGAGACTTCCCTGATTCCTCCGGTCTGGCTGAGACATTTCATGGTGAGATGGAGAAAACGTCCGCTTTCCCCTTCCTCTGATGTTGGCTAGGCACGGCTGGAGCAGGCAGCAGCCCTCGGCAGGACCCGGGTAAGAGGCGGTGCCGGGGCGCGCTGCTCCCCTCATCGGCATGAGACCGGGAAGGGTTTTTTTTCTCTTAGGAAAATAATGTATTGTTTCATTTGCGTTCACTCTGAGGAACAGCTATAAATATAACTTAGGGAGAGATGTGTGGCTTCGTGTGACTGTGCCAGTGAATAATAAAGTTGCCTGTGTGCACGGCATATGCACATACAGCTACCGGGGTGGCCGTGGGCCGAGGGGCAGGGGTGGGCACCTGCCTGTAAACCTCCCCAACTTTCCTCCCCGCCCCTTGCCACCCTGACTTTGGTCGCTTTCAAGTAGCTTCTTCATTTTTACAGCTCCCCATGTTTCCTTAGTGTCTTCTTGCTCTGGGCTGGGTCTTGCTCACCTTTTTCCCCTGCTCAATGTGGGCAATGGTCCCAGACAGTTTACAGGGAAGAATGCAGCTGGAGATCTGTTTTCCAAGCGCTCGGGTGCAAATGGGGCTGAAGGGGATGTGTTGGTTCTCCTACTGCCTGTGGAGCTTTTCAGGCTCCAGACCTGCCCCTCCCTCCCTTGCCTTCCACCTTTCCTACTCCCAGCATGGCTGATCCTGCTGCTGGTGGTCCAGCATCCTCCAGATAGCTGCAAAGGGTCTTCTGCATACTGGGTTTGGGTGAAAGGAGTTCAAGAGGAAGCCATGAGCAAACTGCCAGAGAAACTCTGCCTTTGCTCCCTGTTAGCAAGGTCAGCATCCCCACCAGGGCATGAATGGGCAGGCAGGTTTATGTGGTGCTGGCAGGTCCCTTTGAATATTCCTGGTGCCACCTTCAGCCCGCAAGGCCCTCTCTTCTGGGCCAAACACCTGGAGTCAACCAAATCCCTCTGCCAAGAAGCTGGAGATCCTGTCCCCACTGCCCCGTCTGGACTCCATCCATGGCAAAGCGAACAGAGGATCTGAGGCCTCTACCTTTTCCCATTCCTCTTTGTGGGGGGTTGTGCTGTGAAGGGCAGACAGTGACAGCACACACGGGGGATGCATGGTGAAGGTGATGTGGCTCCAAGACTACCCTCTACCCCTGCTCTGTGCTCTCCTTGGCTTCTCAGGAGGAGGTATCCACAGGGGGTGGGAGGTGTGGAGATGAGCTTAGGGTCTGGGGCCACCCAGAGCCTGGGAGACGACAGGTGGGTGCATGGGGAACACATCTTGATGGAGACATGCAAATACGCCCTTCTCCATTCACCACCAGAAGTGGCACGCACAGAAACCTGAGACACCCTGGCATGTGACCACCCCTGTTTGTGGCCACTGACAATAATAATAAGTACAGGGGAAATATGTACCTTAGGATGGAATCATGAGTCTGGTGGGGACAGGGGGTGGTGGGGAAGAGGAGGGATGGTGAGGAATGACCACAGACAGGAGTAGCTGGAGAGGGCTGGTCCGGAGGGAAGTGAGGCTCCCACTGCTCCACCTTTCTCCTCTTCCATTTCTCCTCCCATTCGAGTGCCAAGATCAAGTGCCCCAATGTGTGGTGCTGACAGGGGACTGGCAGTGGTCCTTGCCCCTTGCAGCCCCCCACCGTGATTTTCAAGGAAAGCCAGAAAGTGAGGAGGTGGCTGGGGAAGGATGGAGTTGTCTGGCAGGATGGATCCTCACTGGTCCCTCTGGCCACTTGGCCACCCCAAGCTCAGCTACTGGCCACCACTCTGGGAACGGCTGCATTTCTGGGGTGGTATCACTGATGGGAGGGTGGCAGCAATGGGGAGGAGGACATGGTGATGGATACCTGTGCCCGCTGTGTGCTGACATCAGTGCAGACCATAAGCAGAGCAGTTAATGGCAATCTGCCCTCAGCATGTTCCCCTGTCCTGTCTCATTATTGCACTGGGTTGGCTTAACCTGACAGTGCAGCCAGGAATCAATAGATGGATGCTGGCGTCTTAGCAATCGATCCCTTACTCATACACGCGGCTCCCAGCCTCCCGCTGGCGCTCGTTTTTCTGTGAATGGCAAGGACTGAGTGAAGCTGTCTGCGCTTGCCTCGCAGCACTGCGAAACTGAGTCAGGCTAAATTCACGCTCCTTCACAGCACTGCCTCTGTGCCCCAGGGTGGAGGGGCCTCACATGGAGCCCCAGGAGGCACCGGTGCTGGTTTTCCTCCCCAAACAAGGTGGCTTTAGTGGGGATGGTTGGGCTTGAAGGCTCCTCTTGTGAGAGATGTTGATTCTCTGTCTTGGGGCAGACAGGGGGGGCCTTTGAGCTGGTTCTGACCCTCACACCTCTTGGGCTTGTTCTCCAGTAGTGAAGATGGTGCCAAAGACCAGGCAGATGAGGGATGTGAGCTGGCTGCCATGTGACCCTGCCCCAATGGTCCCAGAGACCCATGCACCTCCATGCCTGTCCTCCTGGGAGCCTGGAAGCAGGCAGCTTGCTTCAAGGACAGCTTTGGCATTCACCCACTGGTTTATCTGGGGAGAAGATGCCTACCATCTCCTGGCACCAGCACCACTGCTGCTGTCATCGGAGATTAGGGAGCAGAGGGTGGAGAACAAGGTACCCTCCAGTCTGGCACTGCCCCACGCTTCCAGCCAGGGACTCCTGCAGCCACTTTGCCCGTGCCTGCACCAGCCCCTGCCACCACGGCAGTGGGTTTGCCCCTCATGATCTGGACGTCTGTTTTATTTCTATGGCAACATTTCTCCCAAAACACTTCAGAGGGAGCCTGGTGCTGTGTGAAAACATGTGAGGCAGCATCCCCCATTCTGTCCCCTACAAAAGGTTCAGAAAAATGACCTGACACTTCCCCTTGCCTCCCTCCTCACCTCCTTTTCTCCCTGGTGAGCAGCACCAGCACTGGTACAATGAGCTGCTGGCCTTGTCCCAGCTTCCTCTCCGCTGCCTGTTCTCCTTTTCCCTGCCTTCAGCTTCGCTCTCCCCTCTCCTCTCACCCGCTCCCTTTCTGCTGGCAGCCTGCCTCAGCACCCGTGCAGAGGGACCAGCTGAAAGTAGTCTTATAGAAAGTGGATGTCAAAAATGACTGCTATAGAGGAGGTAAAGCCCCATGAGAGCTGTATAGATTGAATCCACCAGCAGCACAGTGACTGTGGGGGCTGAAGGGCACCCGGGATCCCAGAAGCTGGACAGACAGGCTCTTCATCCCTCTGAAAATCTCGATGGCATTATGAAGAGGCGGTGCTTGCCACGGGAGTAGGCACAGCGGCCCCAGAAGTCCTCTCCTCTCCTGTTCCCGTTTTTCCCACACCATCAAGAAAGAGCCTCGTGTCTGGGTGGAGGTAACCAGGCAGAAGCTGCAAGCAGCACCGAATGCCAGCAGGCGAGAGGCAGGTGAGCAGGCAGGATGCCAGCAGGAGCAACTATTGCAGCCTGGAGGAGCAGGGGTAAGACAGCAACCTGTGGAGATGGCGGGGGGATATCGCAGTCATAGCAGTGTGCAAATGCAGCCGCCGTGTCCCACTTCAAACCGTTCTCCCCAGTCCGATCCCATCCGCCATGGCAGCCCCTGCCGTGCTGGGGACCTGGGGGGCAGGTGAAGGAAGGGGCAATGGTCCTCCATACTGCATGAGGTGGGCAGCACTCAGGCTTGACATCTTCTAGATGCATTTGTTAAACAAGACCGATCAAGCTGCAGCAATACAAGTCAACAGACCTGAAGTGAAATAATTGATCCACTCACTGCGGGAATGCAGTTTTCCAGCTTACCTGGGATGCTCCCTTCACTCTGTTTCTGGTGCTTTTCAGGCATGGCTGAAAGGGAGAAGCGGGGACCCTCTCAGGAGAATTGTGGCTCTCTTGGGCTCCTTGGGCTCCTTGTTAGCATAGCAACAAAGGGTTTGAGGGGAGGTTGTTTTTCGCCTACAGCTGATGGGTTAGTGCTCAGCAGCCAGGCCATGCTGGAAACTCAGCTCTTGTGCAGCAGCCGAGTGCAGAGCAGTGGCTGTCACCTCTCTTGATCAGGGTCTTGGTGTGGAGCAGGCTGTGCCCTGGTTATTGCTCGCCCTTTGCTGCTGTCACTGTTGTTGTCATCATCCATAACCCATTTGCAGGCACCTACCTTGCTGGGTACTTGGCAGAGGTACTGCCCTGTCAGGAGTGCAACCACAGCGGGCAGGCAGATGACGTGAGCCACCCTTGCTGCCCTTTTGCTGCACACTAATAATGATCCCTTTCCCTTGAACAAGCCAAAAAACATCAAGAGACCCTGCGTGGGCAGCTCTTCTGGCCAGGGACCCTGTGTTGCAGAGACACCGAGGTACAGGAATGCTGTTGGGAAAGGCCTTTCATCAAGGCTCCCACAAGGCAGGGTGCTCAGTGAAGGATGTTCCTGGGATGGGGGGGTTAGAAGAGATGTCCTTTTCACTGGTGCAGTTATGCTGGGAAGCTGGAGGAGGCAACCTGAGAGCACTGAAGCTGCCTGGGTTGTGAGGACCTCAGGGACACCCCAGCGCCTTCACTTTTTCAGTTCTTGTGGGTTTTGCACCAACCCTTTGGGGTCTAGTCCATAGTTTTAGCAGACAGGGTGCTGGGGCATGCATCAGTCCACATGTTTCCTCAGGAGCAGGTGGGATGGGGTCTGTGCCCTGGCTGCCAAAAAAGCTCTGCTCCTTTTTGGCCAAAAAACCACCAAGGGAAGACCAGGGCCCTTCTGACCATTTAATTTTCCCTGTGATGCCAGCTACAAAGAAAAACACCCACCTACCTCACTCATCAAGAAGGGATTTCTCCCCAGCTGCCGTGCCAGCAGCATCCTTTCCTTACGATCCTGCTCAGCCAATCCCCAGCCCCTGTGTCTTGTCCCCCCCAGCCCCATTTTGGCCAGAGAAGAGTGGGTGAAGACCAATGCCAGTCCCACCAGCTCCACTAGACGGGGTATCCCCCGTTTACTCCAAGATCTTGGGTAGCAGGCAGCTGTTCTTGCAGTGCCATTGCCTGGACAGTGCAACTGGAGCAGGGATCGCCGGGGTGGTGTGGGAGCAGGCAGAAGGTGATGCTGTCACCTCTCTGT